GGTGGAGAACTGATGGCATTTTCACTGTCTTCATAGGCAAGAGGATAAAACAATCCTCCACCTGAAGGAAGCTTGGTTTTGGTGTTGCAATCAACAGTACTCGATATCTTGCCAAGGTTATCACGAGACGGGTCCATCAGCGTCTGCGAGTACTCGGGTGTTAGCGGAACAGCGAAGGCAGTAGCAGCACCAGTTTGAATTTTAGCGAGATCTTTGCAGTAAGTCGAGCCTCCAGCAATCCATGGAGCAGTCTCGGTCGTTGAACGCTCCACCAACTCGTCCGCCCATGCCCAGAAGAACGAAATATTTGTATCAAGCATAAAAACCCACGATAAGGCTGTCGATAGTTGTCACATTTTGTGGTAGCTCCTGAATCTGGGTATCACCGATGCCGAGTAGAGCCATCCCCTGCACCTCAAATATTTCTGGTGGGAGTTCCTGTATCGGGTTGCCAGTAACCGCGAAATGATATGGTTGAAGCTGTAAGAGAACGAGAGGGACCAAGGTGAGTTGGCTGTACTCCACCTGAATAATCGCGTTCATAGGCCATTTTTCATGCAAGTCTTGGGGCATTTCGCGCAGGTTCGTTACGCAAAACTCGATGTCGTATACCGTTGAAGGGAAGTCCGAAGACTGGAAACCAGTAGGCATTAATCCGTCGGTGAAGTTCACACGAACAGCATACAACGTCAATAAGCTTGGGTGGTTCGCACCAGTGATTGCCGCCGATTCACTCCAGGCTTTGATAGTCGTAATGTAAACTTTGATCCCACGAAGGTTGTGGAATTCAGTAAAACGGGCTGGAACTTCGAGTTCGGGGCAATGGCGAATATACAACTGCACAACCGTGGAGCTATCGAATTCTCGCCATTTCCCATCGATCTCTGCCATCGTACCCGATAGATGAAAAGCGTGGCAATCAAGTCCAGCTAAATAGCACGACGGACGGGAAGCCATCCACGGTTTCACTGGCATGAGGCACTGCGGTAGCGTTGGCTGGATGGACGCGTCGATGTGAAGTGCAAGGATTATAATCCCCCAAGCTCCGAACATCAAATGAACCGTACGCAGGACCAAGATTCTACGCCGGGAGCCACGATCGCGAGTAAAACTATATTGCTGAGTGAAAGACTGAGGTCCTGGTCGTGACGCAGCAAGAGCAGATGGAGTCGGAGCTATCGACTGCGCATCGAAAGTGTGCGTATTTTTCACTGCAACAGAGGTGATACCAGATCGGCTGACGCTGTTTCTCTTATGTGGGAGTCGCTGCAGTAGCTCCTTCATATTCGTCGTCGCCATGACCAGTCCGAACGAGAAGAAGGCACGACTCGCTAGATCCGACCACGAAACAACAAGAACCATCTGAAACTCGTTGAATGCTCGAGCCATCCACTCGTCATTAGAAGGTGCCACGTAGCTAGGCTCCGCCTTCGTTCTACTGAAGCTCCTGCGTAACTTAACAAGATGATAACCTCTACCCCCATGCTCGCCATGAGATCAAGGTCGCAGTCCAGCACGATGCAAACGAATCGTCTGCGAGCCTCGTCGCCCTTGCCAAACCAGGAGACAATGATGGGAGACCAGCAATTGATCACGAGTAAAATCACGTAAAACCGATTGAGTATAGTAGCTTGCTCATCCGATACGCTTGTACAGTTTGCAGGGCTGTTTCAACAATTTCACGGATGGTGTGAATCACGTGGAAGTGGTCTCCGTTTACCCCGAAACTCCATGCCGATCAGCAATGACGCCATAAACGTTGGTTATACTCTGCAAAGTAGCTGACCTCGTGCGCTCCGACTCGGATTTCGTACTCCCGATGCCGCTGTTGCAGGACGCCCAAGGTGTAAATGCCAGCGATCGATACTTAAGAGAACCGGCAACCAGGAGCAAAATACAAACTACGTGCGGTACGACCATGAAGAACCGGGCGGTAGCAATCGTGGGATGGTCTTTAGTCGGCATGCCGACGCGAAATGGGTCCTCAAAGTTCCAGTAGCTGTACGCCGCTGTGAGGTTGTAGATGCAGGTAATCACGTGCACGCCCAAGATGATCGCCCACCACAGTGCGAATGACCAGTAGGAAAGTATCACGACCTCCGTCGAAGAGTTGGAAGTAAATTTCACCATTGTCGGGGAAGCTGGTGGCCCCTGGAAAACCTCAGTCAGCGAGGGTCGTCTTCGCTGTCTTCAACGTCTGAAAGTAAAATGCTTCGTCGGGTCATAGCACATGTATCTATCCTATTCCTGTCGTTCTCTTCGGCTAGTATTATTATACGGTCACTAAAAAAAATTCAAGCACGGTCTGACCTACCATCGATATTTCAAGAACAGTTATACGACGCAGCAACACGATTCTCATAAAAAAATCAATGCATTTGAAATCTTACGACTCGAGATGAAAGTTTTTCTGCCTGCCTGCTATATCCTCCAACTCTACCTGTAGTTCGCAGTGCCGCCGATGCGTTCCTTGCGAGCTGTCGCTTTGGAGATCACCGACTCGGCTAACCGTGAGGTTGCTCATAACGGAGCTCACATCGGACGGAGTGCCTTTCCGCCGCGTTGCAACACTGCGAACGCTGCGAGTGCTGGCAGTGGACGAGAGTGCAGCCGAGTTCTTGTACACGTCTCGTTTGGCTTGCTTCTTGGTAGGATCCACGGGTTTCGGGGGTAGCGGCGTGCCTTCGATGTGGTCCGGGAACTCGTCGGCGTAGTCGATCAGTCCGCCCGTGAGCACGTAAATGTTGTCGAAGCCTCGCTGCACGAGCGTGTGGGCCGTCTGAGCCACCGTCTTGTCGTCCAGATCGTAGAGAATGACGAGCTTGGACTCCTGGTTCTTGAACAGGTGCATCTCCGGCAACAGCACGTCTCGGTTCAGGAAATTCGCGGGGTAGTTCTTGGCTCGGTGGATGCGGTTGGCAGCGAACTCCTCCTTGGAGCGCGTGTCCAGCACGAGGTAGGGCGGGTCGTAGTCCTCCTTCTCCTCCGCGTCGTAGCTCACGATGCGAGGGCCGCAGCTCTCCTGGTTGTCGTCACCCACTGGCACTCGCTCCATGGAGAACTCGCCGTTGGCGCCTTTGACCATCCTCGCCACCATTTCCGGCTGGCTGGCGCTGCCAGTGTCTTCGTACTCGCTGAAGAGATCGGCGAGACAGCGGCACGTGATGCGGCGGAAGGTCTCGTCTCGACGCTTCAAGAACTCCTTGTGGGCTGTGGAGAGAGAGGAAGTTCACGGTTAGATTCCACTCAAACGTGAGACAGATTGTAATAACGGAACGCACAGATCAGCCGAACTTTGTTCACCGTCGAGCCCGAGTCGATCTTGCTCTGCGTGTTCTTGTACCGCGGGTTCTGCGGGATCCGCTTCTCCATGATCTGCAAATGTGAAGTGTGGTTGATCTTGAGGGCACCTTTACTCCAAGGAGGAAGCAAGTACGTACGCCAAGGGGAGCTTTGGGCTTAGCGCGGTGCATTTTGTCTAGGGCGAAGCGTCGGGTGGAGGTGCCAAAGAGAAGGATGAAATGCTAGTGACTATTTAGGTAGAGTACAACGGATGAGGGGGTTTCCAGCAAAACGACGTCTCCAATTTTGGCTCCGGCGGCGGTGGCTCCTTATAACGCCCAAGCAGCAGTGTTGTTGAAAACAAAAGTCCTAATTACTATCGCTAAATCTTTATCTACTTTGGTCGTACCAACGCTGGTGCAGGGCTGATCGCGTTGATGCTGTCCTCCGTGTCAATAGGGTAGAACAGTCCCTCAATCCATTCATCACAGTCGACAGCAAGCCAAATGGCATGGAGATTCGCCTCGGAGGAATTCATGAGACTCTGCGAGTATTCGGGCGACAGCGGAACCGAAAAACTATCGGCTGTTCCATTCTGGATGTTCACGAACTCGTTGCAAAAGGTGGAACGTGCAGCAAACCAAGGGGTAGTTACCATTCTCTCCACGAGTTCGTCCGCCCACCTCCAGAAGAACGAGATGTAGGTGTCGCCAATGTAAATCGAAGTCAGCGTCGACGATAGTTGCGTGACATTTTGCGGTAGCTCGTTGATGTTCATCTCGCTTATCCCAAGAAACAGCAAGCCTTCGACCTCGAATATCTCCGGAGGGAGCGCAGTGATCGGATTGCCAGTTAGCGCGAGATAGTACGGCTGCAGCTTCACAAGCGCCAGAGGAACAGAGAGTAGCTGGCTGTACTCCACTTGGATAATGGCCCCGGACGGCCACTTGGTGTCCAGATCGTCGGGCAACTCAATCAAATTGGTCGCGCACATTTCAATGTCGTACACTGTCCGTGGGAAGTCCGTGGATTGAAGACCTGCAGGGAGAAGTCCGTCCGTCATATTCACTCGAACGATAAACAGCGACGACATCGCTGGGTGGTTCGCGTTCGTAAGGGCAGCTGAAGCACCCCAATCTTTGATAGTTGAGTTGTATACTTTAACGCCTCGAAGAGCATGAAATTTACCGATAATGTCAGGCACTTCAACGGCAGGACAGTGGCGAATGAGTAGCTGAACCACCGTCGAACTGTCGAATTCGCTCCACTTCGACTCGACCTCCTCTAGCGCCCCAGATATCCCCAGTACGTGGCAGTCTAGGCCTGCCAGGTAGCACGACGGTCTAGTCGCAAACCACGGCCTCACTTGCATCAGACATTGCGATAGTGTTGGTTGTAGGGAAGCGTGGATATGAAACCCAAGCACTGCAATCCCCCATGCAGCGAATAACACGTGAGCTGTACGCAAAAAGACCCGCTCCCACCGCGATTGAATCTTTGCATCGCGATAGCTGTCTGAGCGACGCAATAACGTTAGTACTGGCCTTGGTACTATAGCGGCGCTTGACCGAGTCGATCTGACGGTAGTGGGGGAGCGTCCCACGAGCTCCTTCATGTTCGTGGTTGCAAGGATCAGACCCAGTGAGAAAATGGCTCGACTAGCGAGATCCGACCAGGAGACCACGAGCACCATCTTGAACTCGTTGATAGCACACGCCACCCACTCGTCGTCATACCATATGAGGTTGTTGAACCCCTCGAGCTCTCGGTCATATTCGCTCGCGTAGCTCATCACAACCAGTAATTCGACGCCCATACACGCCATCAGATCCAACGCGCAGTCCAACACGATGCAGGCGAAGCGCCTTCGTGCCTCGTTACTGCGGAAGATTTTCGAGTAGATTATGACCGACGACCAGCAGTTTACTGCGAGTAGAACGACGTAGAAGCGATTGAGCAAAATCCGCGGCAGTAGAGCGCTCATACGATAAGCTTGCATGGTTTGCAACGCCGTCTCGAGGATCTCCCGACAGGCAACCACCAGGTGGAAATGCACTCCATTAACTCCACAAAGACCGCGTCGATCCACCATCATAGAGTAGAGTCGAGGTAGAATACCCGATCTACCACGGCTGGTTTCCTGCTTCGTGTTGCTGTCCACGTTCGATGAAGAAGACCACGGGGTAAAACATAACGATCTCTGCCACAATGAGCCTCCAACCATTAGCAAGGCACACGCAGCATGCATAGCGGACATCAAAGCGTGGACAATGGCAATAGTAGAGTGATACTGCGGCGGCATGCCGATCTGCAACGCATCAAGGAACAAGTTCAAGAACGTGTACTGCAGTTTTCGGTAGCAATAGGCGTACAACGCATTGTAGGCGCCTGTGACCACGTGAACAGCCAAGATGAGACCCCACCACACGGCGAAAGACCCGCGAGATAGCCGCACAAAGTCCGAGGAAGTCTTCTCCGCCATTGGACTTGGACTGGAATGAGCTTTCGCTGGCATTATTAGATAGATGCGGCGTGTCGGATTCTGGTGATGCCCAATCGCATAGCTTTCTTGTCTTGAAGTACCAATAGCTATACTTGGATCGGGAAAGCTGGTGGGATGCTGATAGCGCTCGTGCTGTCTTCGATATCATGAGGGAAGAACAATCCAGCTAAAAACCGCCCAAATGAAAAAAAACTTGCTCCATAATTTGCTACGTCACGTAAACCCTTCGTTGTTGGATCCTTCAGTATCGCAAAAACAGTGGTCTCCGCAACCAAGTTGCTCGCGAGTTCACGGCGAAGAGCAATCTGGAGCAACCTGTCCTTTTCACTGATCTACTTGACGAATGCACGGCGCAAAGATTCAGCATTCAGACCTTCTGCTACAGAAGATATTCGCTTGTACGAAGTACCAAATATTTTTCCCATCTAAAGTGACGTTGTCGTGATGGGTCGCTCCAATCCATGCACTATCACATTTTGTATTGTAGCGCGATCGCGTCCTGTTGCATGCATTTCACCTTTTCCGTCAAAATAGATTTCTGCTCTTCATGTTTGGCATGGATCTGCTCAAGTTTCTCTGCCTGCTGATTTCGAAGTACATCGGAACTGGATCGAAGCTGATGTGAAAACCGCTGCTTGATACGGTTAGCTTCAGCCTGTTGCTGTTAAGCCAAACGTTCCACGATATGTCGAAGATAAGCTGCTCAAAGTGATTGTACACAGTGCAAGACTCGTATCGAAGAACTGTGTCTTTGATAAATAGCTCCTCATTCAGAGTTTGTGCTGCGTACGATAAGAGTGCTTGATGCGAAGGTGTTGTTCCCCCCTCGACTTGGCGACGGGAAAGGGCATCAATACCTTTACAACACCGACGAAGTTCTGCTTGTGATACCGTGTAAGTGTACTTTGGAAAGCTTCGACCAGATATCTCGACAGCTAGCACTTCAGAAGCCTCCTGCTGGAATTTGTCCAGGTCGTAAATGGGTTCCACACGAACATCGTGTGGTTTCAAACAGAGGTTGGTATTCTGGCAAAATGCCTGATCCCGCATTTGGTAGTCGCGTACTGGGACTCTTTCGTGATGCTGACAGCTTTTAAAAAAGTACAAGACAAACCGAGTTTGAAACCCTGGTTCCTGTAGCTTTTGCAGTCGTGCCTCCAGCTCGTGCGAGTGTCTGGTTTCGCCGAATTCTCGCTAAAATGCGGCGGAGAGTCCAGCGACGTCGAGTTTGGGGTGGAAGCAATGCAGCTTAACGAGAAAACATCTTCAGATACTGTTATGAAGTCCACCGCGCTAAATAATTTTTTAGCGTTGCTATCGCCACTTTCTGTGTCGTAGAAAATATCTACCCGTGAGTGGCTCTTTCTCAAGACTTTTGTTTAGAAGCACGAGGTAAATCTCAATTGGAACACTTTAGCGCGTTGAACTCTATAGGACAAACTCGGTTATACGCCCAGGGCTTGCACCCGACGAGCGGGCATTGCCTTCGTCGTGTCGAGCTTAGATCCGGTTCTGGATCTCCTTGGCACCGTGCAGCAGACCCTCGGCCACGTACAGACAACGACGGATAAATACGGCAACGCAAAACCCGGCACACATATGTTGTACTTTTTACAATAAGTAATTCAGATAGCCAATCAGCTTCGAGAGTTACACTTGACATTTGTATTTCATATGGTTTTAAGTACTTTCTCTAAATTTGTGTGTACTTTATGCTCCGTTACGTGTATTTTATGTCATTGCCTTGTACAATCTCTATCGTTCCCGACCGAGAATTCTGGCACATTTACTATGGAGGATGTCATTCAGTTATGCCGGATTTATCCGTCGTTGTCTGTAGTCCGGCTCGGTGAGGAAGGGCGAGCGGGAGCCCTTGGAGGCCCAGGTGATGGCGTTCGGGCTGAAGGCCTTGGCCATCTCCTTCTGGATGAAAGGGAGCAGGGCTCGGTCGTCCTCGCAGAAGTAGTACATGCAGTCGATGTCCTCCCACGGCTGGTAGGTGGCTTCGTCGCGGAAGACCTGGGCGGTCTGGTGCTTCAGCTTGGCGATGGCGCCCTTGGTCAGGTCCTCGGGCACGTCGTGGTAGAAGATCTCCTCGGGGGTGAGGGGGTAGACGCGCTCGCCCTGGTTGGGGTTTATTTAGTCAGTAAGCTTACATGCACGGAACCATTGGCGTCGCAGCGTAGGGGGGAACTCACCTGCACGTCCATCCACGGCAGCGGGTTGCCACCGATCATCTTGAGGACGCTCTGGCCCTTTGGGAGCACGAAGGCGGCGAGGTAGACCAGAAGAACGATGCCGCCCTCCTTGCCGTCGGCTTTGCGCTGCTTGTAGCCAAGGCCCTTGGAGGCCTCGCTAATGACGAAGCCTCCGTACGAGTGGCCGACCAGGATGACCTGGCGGCCCTCGTTTACGAGGGGCTCCACCACGGCGCGAACGGGCCGTTCGGCGGCATCGTCGAAACCGCCCTTGGTTGGGGGCTCAGCACCGACGGACGGGTACGTCACGGTGCGCGTCTCGCGGCCCAAAGCGTTCAGCTTCTCCAGCACGAGCTGGAAGCATTCGGGTCCATGCCAGGCGCCAGGGGCGAGGACGAAAACGGGTTCGGTGCTGCCAGTCATTGTCTTTTGAATAATGATGGGCTACATGGAGAAAGGCTCCTCGTCCTAATAATGGTGGGCTGCGGTGGCGGGCTGCGTACGTGGAGAAAGACTCCATTGACCAAGCCTGTCCGTCTGCACAGCACGTACAGTACAGAATTCTGCCCGAATAAGGAACGGGTGTATAACTAATAGCCTCACATATTTAATATTATTTTCCAGTCGATGTGGCGATAGGGGGATGTGCAAGGTACTGCAAGGTACTAAGGTGAAAAATCCAGTGCCAATCATCCACCCTCGTTTGAAAAATGGCGCGCATTTAGCGATCTTACTAGACTTCAAACTACATGTATGGTAGTGGTAGACCCGCACTTTTTCTTTTGCACCTCGCCCCACAAGCCCACCTCCTCCCCCACTCCACCCATGAAGTCCACACCGTCCAAGCGTCTCCGCCTCACTTGGTCTGAGAAAGTGGGCATCCTCGACAAGGTGAAGGGCTAGATAATCCCTACGAGGTCGACCAGTTGACAGCGCTGTTGTGGTGCGAGGATGCCTGGTCAAAGGTTAGTGCTTCGACCATACGCCACTGTTGGAATCATTCCGGACTCGTAGGTAAAGCTGCTCTTCAGTTCCTTTGAAATTACTAAATCAGTACATTGGAAAAGTATACTCAACTTAACATCAATTTATATATTCTGCGTCTTTATAGATATCAGGCGTTCCTTACTCGGGCAGATTACTGTACATACAGTACCGCCAACCGGTACGGTAGAGGAAGAGCAGCCTTCTGGTACCGAGCAACGCATTGATTAGTACAATTGTTGTAAAAGCCGGTGCATATTGACACGAGAAAGAGCCAAATCGACGCACCGAGTTCCAAGGTAACGTTAACAACTTTTATCTCCGGCAATTTCTTAGTGCCGGACGCGTGTAGACCCTCAAAAGAAAGTCCGACGTCTAGCGGGCTCGCTGTAGTTCTCGTCGCTGCCAGAAATCTTCTTGTGCTAACAAGTTGAGCTGTTCGCTCTGAGATGCCGGCCCGGGATTTGCAGGAACCATTAAACCTTACGTACAGAACGAAATTGACGCATGCGCTCCGCTCCTTTTTGATCGAACACTGTATCTCAGTCATTTCTCAGGGATATTTTTGTGATTTGAAACACTTGAAAAAGGAGAGTTAGCTTATTTCGCGTCGAATGCAACAATCCGCGGTCCAATCGTGAGCCTAGAAGAAAAGTTATGTGATGTCAAAAAATTACATTGCAATCTTTTCAACAGAGGAGGTATACCATAATACATTTTCACTCAGTGGTGCGGCATGCCGCCGCACTATCACTCTACTATTGCAATTGTCCACGCAACGATGTCCGCTGTGCACACGGCGCGTGCCTTGCTAATGATTGCAGGCTCATTGTGGCAGCGATCGTTATGCTTTACCCCGTGTTGTATCAAAATAACTTCAACAAAGGTCTATCGATGCGAGGCGACTTCTAGCATCCGGATTTTTGCTTCACAAAACGACGAAACCGGCTCTTCTGCAGTCATGTGGCCTTTAGCAGAACTGTGTGTGAAAGAGGTGTTCGCCAAGTGCTCATGCGAGACCCTCTTTTGTTCAAATATAACATGAAAGAAGACTAATCTCTAGACCGAGATACTTTTCATAGCTCGCAGTATGAACGCACCTTTAAGCAAGTCCGCTGACGAGGGGTATGGTGCCGCCTAAGTTGTTGAGCAGTAGTTTAGTACTAACACCATGTTTTTAGCGTTGGTAAGTTACTTAAAAATATGTCGAACTCGCACAGTTTGATCTCTCCAAGTTGGTGGACTCGCACAATTCAATTTAAACCATTTGAACTTCAAATGGTGGGTTTCAATCAGGTGAGGGTAGGACTAATACCAGCTGTGATAGGACCTACCCCGTATTTGAGCTCTCCTGAAATTGTAGTGTTTTTGCTCTTTTTAGTCTCTTTCGTGCAAAATATGGTCATATTTTGTGTGCATGTTTTGTAGGTACAGAATCCCCTCAGTAGTCATATCCGCCTTTATTCCTAGACGAGGGTATTACTGTCGTAGGGTGTACCGTAGCGGTGGTACATATTGTATTGTACCACATATATAGTACAGACTGTCTTTTGGTTGCACACCTCGAAAAACGCAGCTCAAATCGATAAGCGGGCATGAATTTCATGCAGATAACGATCTATAGAGATAGAAGAGAAAACGCCAAACAGGATAAAGGCTATTGATTTTATACCGTAAGAGATGTTGAGCACGATGTAGGTAATGATACTGAGAACAAAATGGTTCGGCATGATACTGTTCAGCCCTATCTCATTATTGTTGACAAGCTCCCAAAATCATTTGTATTCGAACGAACGACACTACAGGTAGCAGGTCTGAAAGCCGGCTTCTAGAGCTAATGCAATCATTAAATTGAAATTAGTCGATGAAACACAGACAATAGGAGCTGGTGTCATGGTTAGACTTCTCCAGCCAATCTGTACAAAGTGTACTTTTCCCAAAGTTAAGCACCCAGAACATTCATATTCCGTGATTTTCTATTCCTTATTACGATTGAGACGTGATGGGGAATAATTACTTGACTTTGTACTGGGAACGTTAGTGCTGCTATCGCAGACCAAATAGGATTATATCCGTGGTACGTCAAGTCAAACAATTACCCTCTTGACATCTAGCTGGTATATTTTCTTGAAACCGGTACGACTCCGGGGCCCTCTAAAGGGTTTATATGCGTGAGCAGACGGAACCGGTAGGATGCCTATCACACCGGTATGGCCCCGGTGATGCACTGGGCCCTCCAAAAGGTTTATATGCGTGGGCAGATCCAACCGGTGTGCAACCGACGACACTGGTATGATTCAGTATATATATTCGAGCAGTGAACGAATTGAAGTAAAGACTGGTTACCCGGGCCCCGGGTCAAGCCCGTGGGTCCCGGGGGGGAGGGTCGCAGTTCGTAAGAAAGGTTAATTGTGGTGTATTAGTTGCGTCTATCCTAGCTGTGGTGTTTTGAGTGCTAGCCGCAGTAAGCGACTATATGTACGCATCCTACAAGACAGAACTCACTAGGCACGAGCTTAAGTAAGGTTAATTGTATTAATACTTTTTCAAAACTTAAAATTATCGTTAGCTCACAAAGCTACATTGAAGACTGTGAAGACGTAAGCACTTTCTAAAACCCTGTTCGAGTGAAATACGATCAAAGGCCTTGATCATCAAGACGCGAATCTAAAACAAAAAATGACCGTTGCAAGTTCCCCGTGCATAAACTTTTAAGCTCTACTTGTCGCTAAGCACACCCAGGAGGAATACTTCTGAAGTATTCCACCTGGGTGTTTCGTCAGCCCTTCGCTGGGTAAAAATGCTAGTGGCAATAATGCATGACAGAAATTAAACTCGACCAGGTGCAGATATGTTACCGACCGGATAAACCGGAACTTCCAGCTTATCTGTCAATATGCGATAGCACTTGTCCATCTCTCGGTTATGGCGCGTAGACATACATCAGTCTTGCGTTATCGATTGTACCTCATGTTGAATTTATCTGAGGCACTGGTCGCACACTTTTGATTAGAACGTTTGTGGGAGTATGGTTCCCTCACAGTAGGCTTATCAGGTCATCGTGTCGAGACTGGACGCCACAATAGCGCTCCGGCATGTTTCGACTTAATAGGTTAGGCGGCTTAGCGGAAACAAACACCCCAACAGATTGTCTTGCTGTAACAGGGAGGAGATGTACATGCTCTAGGGTTCAACTCTAGATAGAGTCCTTAGATTTTTCCGATGGCCTCGCGGTCCAGATACAATTTTAGGTTGGTTTCACCAGTTTTGTAGGTCGTATTAATAGGCTAGCGAGCTCGAGTATGCCGATCAGTGTTCTGCTGCCAACGAACGCTTCATCTCGGTCTGTAGTTGGATGAATTCGTTCGAAAGACTTCGCCGTCAGTTGGACAGTCTTCGTTCTGGCTTAAGACTTCCATCTAGTGCGCCTAAGCGCATATACAGTGATCCGGGTTTTGATATTGATAATAAAAAATGTCTTGAAGACATGACGTGAGGGTGTAACACGTTGTCTTCACAAAATCCCCGAGCTACGGCTTTACAAATATAATATCCGCACTTGCTCTAACCTTTTCGTTGGCCTTCTCAGCCGCCGCCGCGGCCTTGGCAAGTGCGTTTTCGTATTCTTGTCTGTATGCGGTCCTCATCCTCTTGCTCAGCGCAGGAACTTCCTTGCGCAGTTGGGACGGTTCTTTACCGGCCTTAATCCAGAGTTTGAACTGGTCAAATTGGAGCTTATACCCCAGCTTCCTCACCGCTTTATTGTCGCTGGCTCTTGCAGCAGACAGCAGCTTCACCACTTCGTCGTCTCCGCGCTGACTGACGAGGAACTTGGTTATCGTCATGGCGTCTTTTTTGCTGCTTGCATGTCTGTTGGTGTCGGCCATGTGCCCGATCCACTGGTTCAACTTCGGGCTGGTAACGAAGTCGTCCACCTTGTCCACCTTGGCAATCTTGTCCAGGTCCAGGTGCGTCAACGCTTTCTCTAAGCTCATCCCCTTTAGCACATCGTCGACCTTGTCGTCCACGGCAGAGACCTTCTGAACGACCAGCGGTGCGACCTTAGACGTCGCGATTTTAGACGAGACTTTCGTCGTGGTGTCCGAGCCGAAGAGTTTTTTCAGTCCCCCCAAGCTAAGTCTCTCCACTTTGCGTCGGGCCTGCAGTCTGTCCAGTTTGCGGAATGGGCGAAGGCAAAGATGACGGTCAAATCCGTCAAAGGCTATGCTGAAGAACAACCCAGGCAAGGCCCTATACCGTAAGCGGGACGCACAACTTGTGAACGCGTACACAGACCACCTTAACTCGTTGAAGGCGGCCGCATGAGCTTGGTTGCAGCTCCGACGGAAGATGTAGACTGCTCAAATTCACCCTTTTGGCTCTAAAGATCAAACAAGTGTGAATATTAGTATTCTCGCATGCGTAAAGTCCGTTTGATCTAAAGCCCTTGTGCAAATGCATTTAGGTACTGAGGTCAAAATGCATTGATCTGTGAGCTAAACTTAAGATCTCCATAGATCACTTCGGTATCGGTTTAGTGTCTTGAGAACGCTTTAGCCTTACGCATAAGAATCCGGATTTGCCTGCATACGAACTGAAAACGAAACACGCGTCTGGTGTATCTGGGGGTATTCTGACGCAGAACACCTCCCAAATTTTCTGAGTCAATACTTAAGTAATGAGTTTTTCATTGTCAACAAGGCTGTTTGTGTACTTGGTTCGTGTTAACAACGTAAGGGGGTGCAAGTGCATTTTCAGTATCGATAGGTGACGCATTACCTTATCATTGCTGCCAGCTACAGTAGGGTAATTCAGTGAGCTGGGATTGTACCACGATGACCTTCTGAGCAAGCCGACGCACTGCCAGTAAACCAAGCGCTCTCTGCACGATATAGGTCTCATTTTCTTGTCTGCGCTACAGTTGTAGTTTATTTACGATTACAGGTGCTCAGAGGCCTTTCGTGAAGTGCCAACTCCTCAGCACTGACACATGGAATTCCCGTTGGAAGCACAATAATACCCAAAGGCGAACAACATGCAAATCGATTAGGATGCATGACAGCAAACACGTAATAAACATCACAACCAACTAGTGTTGTTTCTTACCAAGTTAATAACTCTTAATAACTGGTATTAGTAATTTTAGGCATTGGTATTACCTTTGTGTATCATTTGTGTATCGTAATAGTTAAATATTGTCTTAAGCATTTTAACTTCTGGAAGAGCAAGCTTTTGCTCATATCAGCTTCCCATACAATGCTAGCCTGCACGCGCGCGGTGCGTTCTCCGGTCCCAGGCTGGAATCTCTCCCCTAGATCTACGCGTCGCTCGGCACCAGCTCGTTGCTCGGCCAGGACGTGAACGGCGCCGGCGCCACGCTGGCCACGAGGCTCGCAAAAATAGGCCCAAGGTGCTCTACGACGCGTACATCGCCCCACATTCAAGCTGATCAGCAACGGTTCCGCAACGCAGTAGTCAAACGCCCGCTGGATGTCATCAAGGAAGCCATCGTGTACCTGCACTTCTGCTTTTCGGCCCGAGACGATGGACTGCGACAAGGCCACTCAGACTGCTTACAGAAGATCTCTTCACGCGCCATGCTAGTGGACATGACGGAGACCGAAACCATGACGCTCGGCCTGGCCCTCGCGGACCCCATGTATACGTCGGCGGGCGACCTGGAGGTCGACGGCTCGTTCACCAAGGACCTGCGCTTCTTCAGTGGCCAGAAGTCAGCCATGCACGCGCATCGTGCCGCCGGTGTGGGCGTCTACATCATCGGCGCGTCACCCGAGTTGTACACCGTTGCGGCCGGCAGTTGCTTCGGACTAGGCGACATGGTGCCCAAGGAGAACAGGTGCGGCGTGCGCTTCACGACGGACGAGGCCGATGCTTCACTGCTGAGCGACAGGACCTGCGAGTTCTTTGGCACTACGGAGTCCGGCACCAACAACACCTATCTCCTGCAGGGCGGGCCTAGCCATCAGTACGTGGACCACGTCACGTGCCTGCTGGCCGAGGGATTCATCAAAAATGAAGTAAGTGCCGGTGGGAGAGCGTGTAGCTGGATATGGTGGATCTCATGAGTTTGTGTGTTGTGCTGCAGATTCGTAAGAGAGGGAAGGGCTTGAAGAGTATCATATACATCGCCGAGGTGGCCATTATGCTGGTACATGAACGAACAGCTCGCTGATAAGGGTTGGACGAGGCCTAAATGTTGCGCTACAAGCGTTGATGTTACAATATTACTGCATTCTTAACCAAATATGACGCTTCTTTATTTGTGGGAGTGCTAGTGCGCGTTCTGCTGTGCCAATGTGCGCCGTTGCGCTGGCAGCTCAGTGACAGAAGTTCAAGTTGAGGTCATCTCGTAGAAGGGCAACCTGTTTCGGCGGGTACGGCACGATGCACTGAATATGTGAGCTAACTGATGTGAAGCTCTACGATTATCAGAAGAGCAAGAAGAGCTGGCGTTTGCATTATTTGAACTCGGATTAGTCAGGGCAAAAGCGGTTTAGCCCTCCACCTCTCCTTCACCCCTAGCAAGTTCGCCACCACTAAGGTCACCAAAGTGTTCTGCGACCGCCATGGCCACGGGTCCACACGCAGCTTCACCACGCACAAGCACAGAAAGGTTGTGTGCGCGCTGAAACAGGGTGGTGAGGCCGGCAAGAGCAAATCGAATATCCTCGGCTGCGTGCATGAGTGATCAAGGCTCGAGTAGCGCGACGACGAATATGCCGTCACGTCCGACAAGCACCATCAAGTCTACCCCTATCATGAACAACTACCCAAGTCCGCAGCAGAACCAAAACTCATCACGAGAAAATGAAGCGGAGGAAGCTGCTAGAAATACCATCAGCCGAGGCAACATCTAGAAGAAATTCGAAAGAGGTTGAAGCCAATGCATTGATACACATTTGCATGAGGACGACGACTCTATTGACTAACTAGTGCATGATATGTAATCAAGAAGGCGTGAACGGAATGAAAATATGGATCGTGTTGCGGGCTTAGCTAGCGTGAACAAAGTCAAATATGCTAATGCTCCCAGGTTGGACCAAACAGCACCCTCGGCGAGTGGTGGGTGCGTCCAGTGCTCGACTGTGGAGTTGGAGGTAGTCCACGACGGCCGCTGCTACCCCCTGAAAATACGAGACGATCGCTAGTTGGTAGAATCGGTGTTGTTGCACTTGCCGATCCGGGCGGCCTCACGACCGGTGGCACAAGCTGGCGCTCATCAGCACGCGTGAAAACGGTTCCGCTGCTTGTTGACTGCGTAAGTGCGACTGACTGCGTAGGAGCGACCGACTGCGTAAGAGCGACCGACTGCGTAAGAGCGACCGCAGCCTCGTCACTGCATACTGTGCTGGTATTCGTCGCTTGGTCGGGTAGCGGGTTGGCTAGTGCAGGCGAAAATAGTGTTCTTCGAGCTAGCGGGGGTGGGACAGCTTCACGTTGGTCGGTCTGCGAGGGCGTGAAGAATCGTGATCGGTGCGCCGTATTAGACCGACTACCGCGCATGCGACTGGAGCTGTTGGGAGCAATTGGCGTAAGGATGTCATCATCGCTGTAGTCGTCACTCGCGCTGCTTTCGCCCTCTTCTTCTGCATTGACTTGATAGTGCACTGCACTAGTTGCAGCCTTGTCACCCGCATTCGAGTACAAATATGGTAGCTTTTCCACGCGATCGGGTTTCAGCCGATTTCGTCGCATGGTGCGGATGAAGGTCCACGAGCGCTCACTCGCAGCGGACGACGTCGAGATGCTCAAAACGCGGGTAGCCAAAGCATGTAGGAGCGGAAACTTGTTAACCTTGACCAGCCACCAGTCTAATGGCGTGTCCCTCGCGTTTTTTTTGTGGTCTTCGGCTGTCCAGGACTTCTTCACGTGAATAAAAGCCATGACAGCTCGGTGAACCGCATTTGGAGATACGTTGGAGGGTAGACCAACTCGTGTAGCTAGATCTACGCATGCATCGACTGCATTGTCCAAATCATCACCTTCAAAGTCGTCCGTAGACTTAGTTGGGTCCAGTAAAAATGCAGCGATGATTGATTCGCGCTTGAGGGTGTTCCAGCGGGAGCTAATCTGGCCTCGGATCGTGTTAAGAATACCAGAAGCAACATCATCAGTTTCGCGGTTGTAGATGACGTGGGTTTTCAGTCCACGAAAGTATTCATACACCATCGAAAGGCAACACCCATCCTTTTCGAGAGCGCCGAGAGCTTGGATTATCGGGTTCACCAGTCGCATTACGGCTCTGGCATTCACCCAAAACATGCTATCAGCCAAAATGGACTCGACGCGATTGAGTTTGGCAGCAGCATCTCCGTAACGAGCCAGAAATTCATGGTTGGAAAACAACTCACGCAGCACATCTTCGTTCCTCACGACACTGGAAATACAATTTGTGCTCGAGTACCACCGCGTCGAAACAGGGATGATTAGCGCGCGTCGTCGCTGCCGGGTACCAAAATACTTGCGTTGCAGAGCCCGAAAGCGATAAAGAAGCGCTGTACGTTTACGCACAAATTTGGTAACTAGGACGGCTTTCTTGAAGACGTCACTCATGAACTCCATCCCGAACATGTCTTTGAGTAGAAGATTGATCGTGTGTGCCGCGCAGCCGTTACACGTTAGACTTGGTATCTTGGCCATTAGAAGCTCCCATGACTTACGCCTGTTAGACGCGTTGTCCGTCACAACAGCGCATACCGATCCTTTTCCGACGACATTTTCAACAGCTTGAATCACCTTGTTCAACTCTGACGCCATGAACTCCCCTGTATGCTGTTTGTCGGCGCAGCGCTCCGATGACCAAAATATGGGTCGGATAAATGGAGACGTCACCATAAAGTTGATAATGGACTCGCTGTTGGGATCGGACCATCCGTTGCATACAATGGCAACGTACTGCTGCTCCCTCAGCACCTCCATAACGCTGGCAACTTCCTCCGCGTACGCGCTATCAAGCAGTGAGGTCGCCAAATCTTGGCGTGAAGGGAGCGTCATTCCGGGCCGGTACTTCGTCAGGATACACCTCATGGCTCCATTTTCGATGACTCGAAACGGAATGCCGCAGGCATAGAACGCTTTGGCAATCTGAAGATGGAACTCCTACTTTTCAGTCACTGAGACCGGTCCTAGCACACTCGTAGCCATTTCAGGCCGCGAACGCTTGGATGGACTGTGGGGCTGTCGGGACGATCTCGCTTGGAGGGTGTTACAGGGTAATTAGCCCGGACGTCCGCTGGACAGCTGCGAATGTGTGGGCGGAGGTTTTTCTTGGGCTGGGCATTCTTGATGAGCTTGGAGCAGTGCCTGCACGTCACGTCGCGGTGCTGCTTCTTCGGGTTGGCCCAACGTGGCACACTCGGTCCACACGCCAACTGAAGGGCGACCAAGGCCAGACCTTCACTGCTAGCCCGGTCCTCGTTGCGGTGGCCGTTTTGGTCCATGGAGCTTGCAGGCTCTACAGGAGCAAGTCTGCGAATGCAGCGACGAGAATAGGCCCCGTGCGCGAGCTGCCTGCCACGTGGAGCATACGCAGATTCATGTCGGTAGACCTCCACGTACGTTGACAACTTCACGAAACGCGTTGACCGAATATGTCTGCCACACCAACTATACACATGAGGTATTACCGTTAGCAGATCGAATATTTCTTCCACACCAACTATACATAAAAGTTATTAACGTTAATAAATGGTAAGTACGAAGGTAATAACGGTAACTGGTAATAACTGGATAAGGATTTGACCAACTCTACAACCAACGAGTACATACAAACTCGTACATGTAAATTGAAAATGCCTCAAACAGACTGTATTGACGCAAGTTGCTCTCTCCTGATCGGACAAGTACGGTTCTGTACTTGTCCGATCAGGAGAGAGCAATACTTACTTGCATAGAATTAAGCCTTTTGGTTGAGTCTGTCACAGTGGGAGGTAATGCAGCATCCTGCGTGATGATGTGCCACCTGTCTACTGCCTCCCTTGCTGTGGTTCTTTCGGCAAGTCGAACTCTCACTCTCAAACTCGCCCTCCCACCGATCAAGCTACCACGTTTTCCACGCGCGTTCACTGCGCTGCTCTACTCGCAGCTTCCATCGTCCTGGCAAACGCGGACGTGTCCTCGGCAGTGGTGGAACCCCGGCACTTTTCATCTTCGCTCCGCTCGCTTGCGGCTGACCACAACGACCCGTTGACCAGGAGACGGAGATCCACCAATGCACCAGTCGACGACGATGAAGAGAGAGGACCGTTCGCGTTCATCGATTATATGAACGGCAAGGGCAAGATCAACGCCATGATGCAGGCGCCGGAGAAAGGGGACGACAACGTCTTCGCCAACCCCCAATGTAAGAACTGGGCGACCAAGAACAACGCTGATGACGACGCTATCGGCGCACTGACTCGCCGCTTTGGCGCCCCTGAAGTGACGACAATGCTGGCTGCGGCGGCAAAGAACCCCAATACGAAAGAAGCCGCTGCGGTGCTACAGGCGAGACAGATCAAGGGCTGGCTGTCCTACAACCTGGACCCAGACGACATCTTTAAGCTCATGAAGCTCGACCAGGCGAGCAACAACCTCTTTGACAACCCCACGCTGACTGCGTGGACCAACTACCTGGCGGCTTTCAACAAGAAGAACCCCAGGAAGGAGACCACAAGCCTCCAAGGCTTCACCAAGAGCTACGGGGAGGAAGGATTCCTCAAGATCCTGGCGTCAGCAGACGACAGCGTTGGGACAACGAAGTGTAAGGAGGAGCTGGCAAAGGGCTGGCTGGATGAGCCTACGCACCCGGCAAACATCTTCAAGTTCCTGAAGCTGGATGAGGCGGGAGACGATCTCCTGACCAACCCACTACTGAGCACCTGGGCCTTGTACGTTCAGGAGTTCAACAAGAAGTATCCTTTCGCGAAGGCGACGATGATCCAGACGTTCAGCAAGAGCTACAGCGAGGAGAAGGTGGCGGTGATGATTCAAGCAGCCACGAAGAATCCGGAGACGGAGAAATTCGCCAAGGATCGGCAGACGGCTCAGTTCAAGCAGTGGATGGTGGACGAGAAGACCCCCGATGACGTCTTCAAGAAGGTGCTGATGCTGGACTCGACCGACAGCCCGAATGCTGACATTTGGCGCTCATACTACAGCGCCTACGACAAGGAATACACTGGCAAGCTGTTATCATTTAAACCGTAGGCAATAGAGATGTTCTGTAGATAGGATGGTCGTGTTTGCGAAATCCCATGATGTTTTTTGTCTTATTTAAATCCGGTATACTTCGGCTTCGAAACAACTACTACGTAGTAGGTCGTCCTCGATCTTAGCTGGGAAGACCAGTGTTGTAAAGTGCTGGTGCTGGTACTGATACTAATTGCCGTGACAAGGGCAAACTTCGGCTCTCCTGAAGAACAGGCCCGCTTTTTAGAACGTTCTAAATCTAGAACAAAAAATGACTTGAACTTAATATGAGGCCCGGATGCTGTCCTTGTTTTGCCCTGATAAGCTAATTATAAATAATAAAAGAAAGAGAAGCACAAACGTAGTAGCTACAAGATCGAAAGTGCGACCGCAAAGACACTTTATGAATGTAGTATAGCTCTCGATCCATAAGGCCAAACTTTTTCAAATACATCGACAGACTATTTTTTTAGTAACCCTTGAAGGGACTCAACTTTACATCGAGCTGTTCAATGCGCAATTAATTGTTGTAGTCGAGATGTAGCTAAATGATTATCACACCAACAACCCTGCAGGGCAACTAGATATATTTATTTCCAAATGAAAAAAGTCACAAGCGACTTGGGCGCGTCTCACTTGCGGCGCACCAGTCGCACATCTCCTCTCAGCCTACTTTAACGCTCTAGCATATATCGAGATAGTCTTGCGTTCTTCGGGTTCGGTCACAAGACGCGTTTGCACAGGATTCGGGTTCGCAGCGAGTAGATTTTGTCTCAGTCGGACGCCTTTACACACGTGCTGGTAGACCCTTCCAACTAAACTTTGTCCTTTCGAGTCGTCCTTGAGATCGTGATGCAGAGTCGTGACCTATTCCAGCAACGAACGCCTCGATCATGTCCTGACTAGCATTAACCCCTCCAAACCGGATGCTGCATAATGCAGCTTAGATTTGAAAGCTTAAACTGCATATATGCAGCTTAAGCCAATTTTGACTTGAAATTTGTATGACTGTCCTTTCCCCCGACACACCACTATACAAACGTCACGATAAAATTACGTTTAGTTTCTGTTCGCGCCTTTTTATTTTTCCAGATGTCAAAGACCGGCATTTGTCAAAATTCGGAATATAATGTTTGGCAAGGGCACGGGACCCACTGCCTGATTTGGACAAAATCTGCGAGGTATCGGACTGGGTGGCTCACAGCGGCTTCCATTTGCCGCTTTTGCAAAATCGCCCTCATTCGAGAATTTGCGCGGCCAGGACTCAAGTCGGCGGGAGAATCAACATGAGTCACAGGTATTCGTGCGAGACATCGACGCTCGGGTACGACGCTAATGGTACGTTCATAGCGAGCGCATGCTATACCTTATTGCTAACCTGTTTCATTTGGCACGTTTTGTCCTGTAGAAGGATAACACCCTCCTCCGTGCGGTGCTCCTCTAGCGCTTGGTAAGGTTTGGTCAGAGATGTCTACGAGATTCATGCTTGCTGACAAGATTTTGCATTACTCTTGGTCCAGTTGTGTTTACTGCTTCCAGGCGAGCGTCTGCTGCTGTAGCTGTCCAAGCTGTCGCACTCAGTCAAACTGTCGAGCTTCGGTCGAGCTGCTCAACCCGCTGCATCCGTGCCTGGCGTTCCGAGCGCTTGCGGAAGAACTCCTCGGTATCCCGGTGCTCAAGTCTACCCGCATTCACACCTGTTGTGACTGCTTCCTCGCGTCGATGCAAACGACGACTACGACGACGCCAGGACTTGAAGGGAAATGGCGTGCTCCGAACAATGGTACGTTGTATAGCATACTGTCCTGTATACTGCATTGTATGCAGTATTACATATTTATGCTGCCTCGTAGCCTACATGATCTAACCTGAGCAATATTGGTGTTGTTGAAGGAGACTACGGTGACCAAACAGCCATGATCAGCCCGAAAACGAGCCCGCCTGCGTGAAGACGACGGCTCGAATGAAATTGTAGCGAAATAGACGAGCTGAGAAGAACTCCGGCGAAGCCAGAGATGCCGCTTTGGGATCCATTGATCTGACCGACGGGCGAACGAGACGAAAACTGACTTGGCCTGCGCTCGTAATGACAAGGTCGAGTGGTAGTAACGTGAAAGTATGTAAACTAATATAAGCAATTTGGAGAAACACAATTGCAGTCGATGCGGTTCCTAGTGTGATGCTATGGATACCCACACGCATAGTCGTGGGTGCAACGTGGCTCTCCCATTAGCGAGATGTGCTGGTAATCGTTGCTTTCCGGTTGACTGCATGTCATTGACATCAATCAATCTAAGCACCAGCAAATTGGAGTACCCAACTGTAGAACTACTAGCTTCCCTACACCAACACTGCGGTAAATCACATCCAATCATTATATATCATATGCATGAATGCAGACGTAGCACTTGTTTAGTGTGTGTAGTTAGTTTTGAAGGATCCATGCAACGAACTACTTCGGTGTTGAAGTCAGTCGAATTTGATTTGGTGATCTAACTTGGTGATCTTTGCTGCTGCTTCAACTACAGAATGACATGCTCCTGTCTGCAACAACACATCCTAACTTGCATCTTAGGTATTGTCTTACGTACGAAATGGTAACGTTTCACCTGATTGCCCCCCTGGATATGTTTCTGAATGTCTATTTCATTTGATGTTTGTATAGTGCATAGAATGCCCCCGGACGTACCACAAGCTTACAGAACGCCTAGAGGTGACACACCTACTTTGTATTTATGTTTTTGTATGGGAAGTTTTAAATTCCGATTTTTAAAAAATCGGGACTCCCTAGACACTAGTTTCTGTTCGGCAGGCACCCTGTCACTATCCGTGGTAAGTAGCATTATTCAGCATGGGTATGTCACACTAGAGCCAATATGCAGATTATATTCAGTATTAGCATGGCCTTGTTAGTGCTCATCGTGCATCCTATCTTCCCTAACCATTTTTGTATACAAACATCAAGTCTAATTACGCTGCATATGCAGTTTACATGTTCTTTTCGGCTCCCGGTCTGGAGGGGTTAAGATCAGATAATATTAGTGAAGTTGCGATACCGCAGCAATTGTAGACGAACACATGGCTCTTGTGAAGAACAGGCCCGCTTTTTAGAACGTTAAAGATCTAGAACACAAAACTCACTTGAACTTACTATACTATATGGCTTAGGTACGACTTGTAGTCCCGAGTATACTCTGGTATACAGATTTGGCCCCCAGTCAGACAACCCTTATGCGAAAACAGCAATAGCTTTTGAGCTGGGACCGATCGGTATGTATCTAGATGCACATCAACAACAAATTAAAGTGCTCTAGAAGGTTGAATGACCTCTAGTCATTGTATTGTGGGCTTGACCGTAAGGCGTCTCGAAAGCGGGCCTGTTTTGAACGTTTAATACTTTACATAAGTGATTACGCTTTTGGAGGTCCGGCGACAGCCAGTCAAAAGCGGGCCTATCATGAGCATTTCAGAGGGCAAAACGTGGACAGCATCCGGGCCACATATTAGGTTCAAGTGAGTTTTGTGTTCTAGATTTAGAACGTCATAAAAAGCGGGCCTGTTCTTCAGGAGAGCCGAACACATTCGTGCTGCACGTATATGTGGCCTGAGTGGGCCTTTTCTAGCTACTTTCGGCATTGAATCACCCCCTAGAGCACCAGCACGTCCAACGCGTCGCATTCTACAGTACAACCAGGGAAAAATTAAGTTTAGGCCAAGTTTCCATGTCACGAGTAATGGGGGGGGGTACCTGAAGACTCAAGCGGAGGTTGCTGCTCCTTCTTGCCCTTATGCGAGCATCCAGTTCATGTCCGTTCTCCTGTTCAGCAAAGTCTAAAATGACATTAAGCGAGCCGGAGTAAGTTAAGGTGTTGCGCGACCATCGCGGATTGGAGATCAGGAATCTACACTAGGCCACGGAAAGCGTTGGCTCGAGGACGGAAGCGTTAACAGCAGAATTGTACACAAGACGACCAGCCAGGACGCTACAACAAGGCAGCAGGAGACGAGCGAAGCAGTTGGAGACCAAGAAGCAGCTGGATAAAACGACCAAGGACGAAGCGATGCGATCTTGCAGGTACGTTGAGCCAAGGGACGAAACGTGCGCCAGCCAGCAGCAGACACAGAAGATCGCGCCGCGAGGCCCCCCGGTGGCCATAAGATCGCGCCGTGAGGCGGCGTGGAGCTCGTGCAGAAGGTCGCGCGCCGAAGATCGCATTGAGCGAGTGGCGCCGAGACGCCGCTGGGAGTGGCAGAGCAGCCAGTTGAAGATTTACCAAGTTGGTGACAAGCGCGGGCAAGTCACCTCCAGCAGCCAGAAGAAGCCTCCGTCGGTCGAGACGTTGAGGCAGGAGGAAGCGATCGTAACCAAGAAATACATTGATTGACAAGCCAAGTAGCCTTACTTCTGTTACCAGCGCCTGCGTCGCACGCCCACAAGTGGTTCAAGTCCACAGCTGAGAGTGACGGGTTCGAGTCCCTGGACGGGTTCAAGTCCCCGGCTGACGGCAGTGGGTCAAGTCGACGGGTTCGAGTCCCCGGAGAGCAACAGGTTCCAGCCCCAAGGCACGACAGCAGGATCAAGCCCTTGAGCGGGTTCGAGTCCCTGCAGGCCAGTACACCGGGTTCGAGTCTCTGCCAAGCAACAACGGGTTCAAGTCCCTCCGTGGGTCCGAGTCCCTGCAGAGCAGCGACGGGTTCAAGTCCCTCAGTGGGTTCAAGTCCCTGACGCAGAGCTCGGGTTCAAGTCCTGACTTTGGAGGACGTGTGGTGCGCCTGGGATATCGACTGGTGAACTCTGTTGGACGTTGTGTGTTACTCGCGAGAGGAGCTGGAGGACCTCACGTGCAATCGGTGGTCACTGCGGCTTTGATCGTGGCTTGTGTGTTTACATTTACGGAGTTCGTCAGAAGTTGCCACCGGAGACCTCGGAAGCGGCCGCGACAAGGTCCGGGCAAGGCAGCAGGGCGCGGGTAACAGGAGGAGTGCTTTCTTGGTGGTCATACAGGGGCGAATCAACACGGTTGGCTTTCGTGTGAGTTTGCCTTCACGAGACTTCGCTTCAGCGGGCACG